GAAGGATACCAAGACCGTTATAGGCATTTTACACGGTGATCTGCCTGTATCATTTCTTTTGTCGAGGGAGTCTGAATACATTTTAAAACGGAGCTACGGGTCAGATCCTAGACGCGCGCACTTCACTTTGAACCAATCACACGATCAATCTCTCCCAGATGTTTTGTGTTCACGATTTTCAATGATCAAAGCTCGGACCGTGCGTTTCCTGACCTGCTCATCAGACGTCATACATGCAGGTTAGCGCGGGTTATTTTAGCGGATAAAACACTATCACAGCAGGGAGTCATTAGCATAAATAAACCAGGAAATGAATGAGGGAAGGTAATGACTTTCCTAAAGGGACAAGTCTATATCGCATGTTCGTTGTAATTAATTAAAGCTTGAATTCAGTAGAACAAACCCGCTGAGGATGTGCTTTGATTTAGCTCCGTATTAAAGAGGCTATCAGCGTAATTGTTCACTAGAAATTGTTCATTAAGTAAAAACCGTATTTATATTTGACCTTTTCGAGCTTCTTCCTGTTCGAGGGCCACGTGTGGATATAGGGAAACACAAAACTATCCAAGTTCTCATTCACGCACTGTCGAGATTGAATGTAAAAAAATAAATACATACATACATACATAAGTAAATATATAACAGCATAAATTTATGAATAAATATATGAATAGCAAAGATAATTGCAAAGGTTTTTCAAGCAGTTGCTGAGTTCTTCTAGGGTTTGAACCATGTCTGAGAATGGTCAAAATGTTCTATATGTGTTCACGCTCTCACTGTCCTGGTTAAATAAAAGATAAATACCATGTTTTTCGGACTATAGGTCTTTCTGGAGTATAAGTCGCACCAGCCAAAAAATGCGTAATGAAGAAGAAAAAAACATATATAAGTCACACCGGACTCTAAGTCGAATTTTTGGGGGGAAATGTGTTTTATAAAATCAGAGACCAGGAACTGACATTTCAATAGAACAGAGAACAACAGACTGTTAATGTCACATATGAACAGTTTGCCAAACTCTCCATCTCACTCCAAATCACTAAATCCATTCAATTCTTCATCCTCAGTGTCACTTCTGAGCAACTCCACGACCTCTGGAGGTAAACAGAGCGCTGCTTCCTCTGCTCCGTAGCTGTCGTCAGACTCAGCATCAGTTCCAGTTAGAATTATTTCAGCCTTTCTGAATCCCGACAGGATGGTTTCGGTGTCACTGAAGTCCAGGCTTTGTCGATCCATCCAAGTGACTTCCAGGAAAGTTGCATGGTGCATCCTCCTGGTTCCCGTGAAGCTGTGTTCTCCATCCCCGCTTTCCGTCAGTCCCTCACAAGTTTCTCGCTCACTCCAAACTTTCTTTCTGCTGCTCGATTACCGTTTTCGGCTGCATATTTCATTACTTGTAGCAGGACACATGCAGGAGACATGCGCAGTAGAACCAAGTGACAGCGGTACAGGAGTAATAGAAGCAGCAGATATTGACACGCAAGTCTAGAGCCTCTCGCGGCTGTCAGGGTGAAAATTTTGATATATAAGTCGCACCAGAGTATAACTTGCAGGACCACCCAAACCATGAAAAAAATGACAACTTATAGTCCGAAAAATATGGTACTGATGTGGTAAATAATGTCTAACAGACTGTCTTTCTATCCTTGTGAAGAGAGTTGTGTTTTGCCAGAATTCAGTTATCATGCCTACGTAATGCCTGTGGATCTGCGGCTGAGGATCTGCTGCTGCGGGAGGCTCATACGGGGTTAAAAGTTATGAAATGTAACTTGGTGACTTCAGTCATTGCTCTTTTTAAAGGGATAGTCTCGTATGGGCTCCATTTCATTTCTTGTCTTTTCTTCAGCACAAAATGTAATTAAAATATATAATCTCTCACCAGATCTAAATTAACTAGAATATAAATCCTATTCTTTGAAGCTAAGGCTGCCTCGTCATATTTTTCTATTGCATTTATTTAACTTACCAATTTTACTTTATTTTATTCTTATGTCCATGTTAACTGTCTTGAAGTTGAAGCTCTTCTGTGTTTTTCAAGTCCATCTACACCAGAAATGCTCAAATCCTTTTCTTTGACCATTTCAACTCAACATAAATCATAGTTTTACTTAATACACTTAAACCAAACTAATTCACCTTTCAGCGCCCTCTGCTGGCTTTCTGTAGACACATTTCTTGTCAAAAAGATTTCAGGCATTTCACACATAAATTAGTTGAAGGTATGATTCAGAAAATCCTACGACCGAGCCAACCACCGAAGTTTGAATATGACATAACATAGGACCTTTAACTAAGAGCTAAAACTTTTCAGCTCCTCCAGCTATAATTACATTTCCAAATTTCTGGACAGTATTTTGACCAAAGTGAAATTGGAAGTGGCATCTCTCTGTCAGATTTCCTCATTAAAGCCCACAGTGAGTGACAGTGTGGGTCTGCGCTGGGCTAACTATGGACTCTGGCCGCAGGTTGTATGTATATTTCAGAGGGGCTGTCAGAAAGTGTCTGTATGACTCACCTGAAAAACAGATTCCAAATCTCAGAGTTACTCTCCTGGTTAAATAAAGGATGCTGAGTAAAGAGCGGGGGCCTCATTTAGAAAACTTTACCTACAATTCTTATTAAAAGTGTGAGTAGGAACAAAACTCCAACTCACTCACGCCACATCTCTCTCAGCAATGATCATTTTCTAGCCAAGCTGGTGCCACCCAGTGTCTCCGCTCAATTTAATTTCTTTCCAGCGACTAGGTCAGGAATCGTAATACATTAGACAGTTTCGCAAAAACCCCGGAAGTGCGAGTTCAAGCACCAGCCAATCAGCAAAGAACCATACATTTTGTGTTGGCAACGATTCCTGAGATCGAGGATTTAAAGCCAGAATAAGGGGAATGTTTGGTGAATTTTATCAAGGGGAAAGACGTTATTGCCCTTCTTCTTAGCAGATTTGGAAAAGCTTAATATACTAGTTATCCCATTTAGCGGCGCATTACATACGTCACGACCAAAGAGCAGCGATTGGGTAAATAAAAAAAGTACCAGCCCACAGTCGAGTGAATGAATATTAACACTGCGAGGTCAGACGGTTTCTACGAAGTGAAATGAAGTGAAACCGGCTGATGAATCAGGCTAGTATCTCAGGTAAGACACTTAAAAATAATTAAAAATGATTAAAATTGGTAACATTTTCAAAGTTAAAAAGGTGATGTTTCTTTAAAATTTCACAGTGGTGTCAGTGTCTGGGCTTTTTGTCAAGGACCTTAAGAGTCAGTTTGTGTAATGAACAGAGCAGTGATTGGTTAAATGAAAGAAAGTACCCGCCTACTGTCGAGCAAATGGATCTTAATGCTGTAAGGTCAGACGGTTTCTACGAAGTGAAACCGGCTGATGAATCAGGCTGATCACCTTCTACCTCATTGCTGAAAGTTTTAGGACCGGACTTCTCATTTCCACGTCAAGTTGTCTCTTTATAAATCACAACCTTAACATGAAAAGTCACGTACGAAACAACATAAGACCTCTGACATTATTCAACATGGTGACTTATAGAATGTGTTTTATTTGGTATGTATTTTGATGAGAATTGAAAAAAAAAAAAAAAAAAAAAACTTAAAAGGACAAAGGAAGTTGTTGCTACTCATTTAAAGCATTGGTTTTCAAAGTGGGGTCCTTGTGACATGGATTGGGGGGCCTCCAAAACTTGTAATATTAATGATCATTACTTAAATACTACAATTTTGTAATATATACAATCCCAAACATACTGTATATAGCCTAGTCATATATGGAACAGTGCCAGTGGAAAAGAAATGTAGTTTTATACATGGTTTCAGGCTACGTTTATATGATGATGGTCTGAACAGAAGACACAAAAGCTGCATCGCGTCTTCAATTTTTATTCCACGTTAAGACGAGCGTTTTCAGGAGGAAATCTGTGTGCATACGGTGACGCAAAAGTCTGTGGAATTTGATTGGGTATGCGTGCCAGGCGGCTCGGCGGTGACGTATGTGACGTAAACGCGTAAATGACGTGAGCAGATCTGACCAGAGTTTTGCGTCTTGGACAGTGTAGACGGAAACGCTACAGCGGAGCGTATTCAACTTTTCCACTCTGGAGGGTGGTTTCAGATTTTTGCATTTTTAAGCCCCAAAAACGCCACCACCATTTAAACAAAAGGAACTTCTGATAAAATATTTTGTCATTTTTACCCACAAGTGTAAACAGGTCCTAAGCTTCTTAACAGTTTCATTGTGATGCGGCTTTGAGGATTGGCAGGAGGTCCTTAGGATACTTTCATATCAATAAAAAGTTCTCAGCCTCAACACATGTAAAATATGTCTTGTTTTTTTTACTTGGTTTGATAGAACTGCCTGTTCATGTTGCGAGGGCCCTGATACGAGCCCTTGTACTTTTTCTTATTTCATTTCTGTATGTCCAGCTTCTGATAAAAGAGAACTCTCAATCTCATGGACATGTAAAATATGAATGGAAATCTGTAATCTGCCTATTTTTTGTCAAATCAACCATTCTCAGAAGAATCTAGACAAATCTGTATTCCAAATCCACAAATAAAAAATAACCCGCCCAAAAAAACAAAAAAATCCCCCAAAAATTTGACTTGTTTGCCCGATTTCAAGTCCCAAAATCTCATGTAGTGAGATTTGCTTCAGCTCTGACACGGGAATTGTCAAGACCCAACAAATGCTCAGGCCTGTTCTTATATTTACCCCCAAAAATGTAGACCGAATTTAAAATCTGACTTTCCTCTGTGCAGAGCTTGTTCCCAATTTAAATGAGAGCACAGAGATGATTAGACGACCACAGAGCCCAAAACTTCAGAGACTCAGCTTCACAAAGAGTCCAGCCATTTGTCTGAGCTCAAAGAGTTCAGAAACAAATTTAGTTTGAACTGAAATTGATTTTGGTGTTTAAGGAAAAATAGACCTGTGGTAAATATGTAAAACAGTTGACAAAAAAAAAAAAAAAAAATGTTGGATTTGCTCACCCAGAGTCCAGGCACCGGCGCAGAGAGTACGAAGCTCCGCCCCCACAGGTACGAGAACAGTCGCTCCAGGGTCCCCAGGCGTCCCACCCGCTGTCCTGGGACGAGTCTGGATCTGTCACATCTGAGCGAGGAAACCTGGAAACCTGCAAAAACAACACAAAACAACCACATATGTTCATACACTGTACATAAAATAGACTGAACATTATGAGAAAAGCTTAAAAAGGTAGAAAACACGGTGGATAAACTTGTATTACATTTAAAAGTATAACATTATGATTTCAAAATATGACACAAAACACATTTCTTAATTAAAAATAAAGCTGGCACCCTAATTAAGGAGACAAATTCAAAGTTGCCAAGGGAACATTCACAGTTTCACATGATTAAAATTTTACCAAACGGTAACAAACCCTAAATTAAATCCAACCCAGGTCTAACAGAGGACTGCAAGTCAAGTAGATCAGGTTTAGTCCTGGTTTAGACCTGACTTAGTCTTGGTTTAGATCTGGTTTAGACCTGGATTAGCCCTGGTTTAGTCCTGATTTAGATCTAGTTTAGTCCTGGGTTAGACTGCTTCATTCCAGATTTAGTCCTGGTTTAGTCCTGTATTAGACCTACTTTAGTCCTTGTTTAGTCCAGGGTTAGATCAGATTTAAACCTGGATTAGACCTGCTTTAGTCTTGATTTAGTCCTGGTTTAGTCCTGGGTTATACCTGCTTTAGGTTTGTCATTCTTGATGGTAAAAAAAGTTTTCAAATCCCACATTTCAGTCCAGATTTAGTCCGGATTCAGTCCTGGTTTAGTCCTGGATTAGACCTGCTTTAGTCCTGGTTTAGTCCTGGATTAGACCTGCTTTAGTCCTGGTTTAGTCCTGGATTAGACCTGCTTTAGTCCTGGTTTAGTCCTGGATTAGACCTGCTTTAGTCCTGTGGTAGTCCTGGTTTAGTCCTGGTTTAGTCCTGGTATAGTCCTGGATTAGCCCTGGTTTAAATTAGTCATTTGTGATGGTAAAAATTTTTTCAAATCCCACATTTCAGTCCAGATTTAGTCCAGATTTAGTCTGGATTTAGTCCAGATTTAGTCCGGATTCAGTCCTGGTTTAGTCCTGGGTTATACCTGCTTTAGGTTTGTCATTCTTGATGGTAAAAAAAGTTTTCAAATCCCACATTTCAGTCCAGATTTAGTCCGGATTCAGTCCTGGTTTAGTCCTGGATTAGACCTGCTTTAGTCCTGGTTTAGTCCTGGTTTAGTCCTGGATTAGACCTGCTTTAGTCCTGGTTTAGTCCTGGTTTAGTCCTGGATTAGACCTGCTTTAGTCCTGGTTTAGTCCTGGTTTAGTCCTGGATTAGATCTGCTTTAGTCCTGTGGTAGTCCTGGTTTACTCCCGGTTTAGTCCCGGTTTAGTCCCGGTTTAGTCATGGTTTAGTCCTGGTTTAGTCCTGGTTTAGTCCTGGATTAGTCCTGGTTTAAATTTGTCATTTGTGATGGTAAAAAAGTTTTCAAATCCCACATTTAGTCCAGATTTAGTCCAGATTTAGTCCGGATTTAGTCCAGATTTAGTCTGGATTCAGTCCTGGTTTAGTCCTGGATTAGACCTGCTTTAGTCCTGGTTTAGTCCTGGATTAGCTTTGTCATTTGTGATGGTAAAAAAAAAAGTTTTCAAATCCCACATTTGAACATGTGTAAAACCTCCACAGAATCTTAATTGGAGAGTGTCAGTCTTCATCTCCTCCACAGACTCTCCATCTGCCTGCAGGGCCTCCCACTGAGCACACTCCTCACCAAAACCTGTTCAGGACCCAAGGGAATGAAAACTACAGAAAATCAATCTTTATAACGATGTCGCTCACAACTTCAAGACAAATATCACCAAGTTACGTATTTATTTTGGAAAGAATAGGCAATGTATGTATGTTTTTGCATACAGCATCTTGCGAATACTGTATTTATTTTGGTCTTCAAAATAAAAAAAATAAAAATGCAATGTTTCTTGAGAGTCTGTCATCTGCTTGTCTCCTTGGAGATGTTATTGCTCATGTCTAGTTTTAACTTTAGCAGATGGTGCCAGCTGTGGTACTGGTCAGATCTTTGGAGAGGCAAGCCTTCTCTTAAAATCTCTTGAATAACATGTCCATATCTGTGTTATTCATCGTACTTTTGAGCAATTAAAAAAGCCCATAATTAACATGCCGGATAGATATATTTAATGCTGTACTGTGGAATATGCCGTACACACAAGTCGTCCCTGGACTCCCGACCAGAAAAGTTGCACAGTGCACCTTTAAAGCAGAGTTATCTTTCTCTATTAGTAAATCTGACAAAATCTAGGGAGACATTTGGAAACATGTGATGACGACTTCCGGTGGGCTCTATTTGCAGTAGTAAGTCTGACAAAATCTAAGAAAAATCAGAAAAGTTACACAGTGCACCTTTAAAGCAGAGTTATCTTTCTCTGTTAGTGCCTCTGACAGCCCCTGTGTCTCTCGCTGCATAAACCGTGGATACAGAACTCTGCGGTGGTTAAACAATGGTCTGGTGCAGTGTCCTGGGGCAAAGCTGTGGAGCGTCTCCCCTCAGGCCTGTGGTATTTCTGCTGCAGGTCTGTGCGGCTGCAGGTCTGTTCTGCTGCAGGTCTGTGCGGCTGCAGGTCTGTTTCGTTGCAGGTCTGTGCGGCTGCAGGTCTGTTCTGCTGCAGGTCTGTGCGGCTGCAGGTCTGTTTCGTTGCAGGTCTGTGCTGCTGCAGGTCTGTTTCGTTGCAGGTCTGTGCTGCAGGTCTGTGCGGCTACGGGTCTGTGCTACTGTGGGTGTGTGCGGCTGCAGGTCTGCGCCGCTGTAGGTCTGTTCTGCTGCAGGTCTGTGCGGCTGCAGGTCTGTTCTGCTGCAGGTCTGTGCTGCTGCGGGTCTGTGCTACTGTGGGTGTGTGCGGCTGCAGGTCTGCGCCGCTGTAGGTCTGTGTTGTAGGTCTGTGTTGTAGGTCTATGTTGCTGCAGGTCTGTGCTGCTACAGGTCTGTGCTGCTGCAGGTTTGTTTTATTGCAGGTCTGTTTTATTGCAGGTCTGTGCTGCTGCGGATCTGTGTTGCTGCAAGTCTGTGCTGCTGCTGGTCTGTGCTGCTGCGGGTCTGTGTTGCTGCAGGTCTGTGCTGCTGCTGGTCTGTGCAGTTGCAGGTCTGTGCCGCTGCGGGTCTATGTTGCTGCAGGTCTGTGCGGCTTCAGGTCTGTGCTGCTGCTGGTCTGTGTTGCTGCAGGTCTGTGCTGCTGCTGGTCTGTGTTGCTGCAGGTCTGTGCTGCTGCAGGTCTGTTTCGTTGCAGGTCTGTGTTGCTGCAGGTCTGTGTTGCTGCAGGTCTGTGCTGCTGCAGGTCTGTTTAATTGCAGGTCTGTGTTGCTGCAGGTCTGTGTTGCTGCAGGTCTGTGCTGCTGCGGGTCTATGTTGCTGCAGGTCCGTTTCGCTGCAGGTCTGTGTTGCTGCTGGTCTGTGTTGCTGCAGGTCTGTTCTGCTGCAGGTCTGTGCTGCTGCAGGTCTGCGCCGCTGTAGGTCTGTGTTGTAGGTCTGTGTTGTAGGTCTATGTTGCTGCAGGTCTGTGCTGCTGCAGGTCTGTTTTATTGCAGGTCTGTGCTGCTGCAGGTCTGTTCTGCTGCAGGTCTGTGTGGTTGCAGGTCTGTGCTGCTGCAGGTCTGTTCTGCTGCAGGTCTGTGTGGTTGCAGGTCTGTGCTGCTGCGGGTCTGTGCTGCTGCGGGTCTATGTTGCTGCAGGTCTGTGCTGCTGCAGGTCTGTGCTGCTGCTGGTCTGTGTTGCTGCTGGTCTGTGTTGCTGCAGGTCTGTGTTGCTGCTGGTCTGTGTTGCTGTGGTCTGTGTTGCTGCAGGTCTGTGCTGGGTCTGTGTCTGTCTGCTGCAGGTCTGTGCTGCTGTCTGTTGCTGCAGGTCTGTGTGCTGCTGGTCTGTGCTGCTGTGGGTCTATGTTGCTGCAGGTCTGTGTGGCTTCAGGTCTGTTCTGCTGCAGGTCTGTGCTGCTGCGGGTCTATGTTGCTGCAGGTCTGTGCGGCTGCTGGTCTGTGCTGCTGCAGGTCTGTTTCTGCAGGTCTATGTTGCTGCAGGTCTGTTCTGCTGCAGGTCTGTGTTGCTGCTGGTCTGTGCTGCTGCAGGTCTGTGTTGCTGCAGGTCTGTTTCGTTGCAGGTCTGTGCTGCTGCTGCAACAAAAGCTGCTGTTATCTCATTAGCTCAGTGCTAACGTGGCTAATGCCCAGGACAGAGCTGGTTTATGTGCAGAGGAGCATGAGCCGACTCCATGGTCCAAGGAAACTCACAGGTCAGAGTTTTCATTTCCGAGTGAAAACAGAAAATCATACTAAAGATACACTGTGTAATCTGGTTCTGCTTGTCTCATAACGTTATAGCTTTGAATACAATCTTCCAAAACGTATATATTTAAACTTGCATATTATCTTCATTAAGACAAGCAGGTAAAGCCATGTCACGGGCCAGATCTGTGGAGAGGCGATCCCACTCACAGTCTGCAGGTTTTAAATGTCATCCATCTATAAATTCAAGAAACGTCCGACTGTGTCTGTTTGTCTGTTCCACCCATAACTCTCAAACCGCTCATCCGACCGATCTCAAATTCAGAGGGTGTCTTCCTAACGGGACGGGTGTGTGCAGTGCTGATTTTCAGGTTGTTAGGACAAAAAAATCCCAAACATCTGGTAAAATTAGTGATTCATTTTAAATACTAGTTTTAATACAATCTTGTGTAATTGAATAACACAATATATATAAAAAAAATAAAAAAGTATGTCAGTCGTACTGTGGAACATTCCAGGACATGCAATTTTATCTCCATGTTGAAAAGCAGGTCAGACCCCCAACCAAAAAAAATAATAAAAAATGACATAGTGAATCTTTAATCCTTGAGAGTAAATGAAGAATTCCCTTTATGACAGTGGAATGTCAAACATGGCAACGACTCAAGGCTGTTTTATAATCGCCTGCCTGGTTCAGTGACACGGTGATGGGGGCACTATGTTGTATTAAGTGTAAAGGTGCACCAGTCTGTAACCTGTTTGTCTCCATGGAGATGATATTGCTTTCTAGAATGTTCCACAGTATGGCATTAAACCTTAATCTAAATCTAAACTAGGACTAA